ATGTCAGGTTGATTTGTAGATCTACATGCGGTTGATAAAATCAGCTAAAAAGGAAGAAAAATAATAAAAAACGTGGGGAGTATAAGGCTTAAAGTGAAGGTGCATTTGACTTGTTATGGCCAGACTTTGGCAAATGATAACACGCATCAATATCCGAAAATGTCGTCTTGGAATGGCTTTTATTTGTTTAAACACAAGTAGAAAATATATATTTTTTCAAACACAAGCAGTGTAAGGATGGTATGAGTACCTCTAAGGTCCTCTAACTAGGCGAAGAAACAGTTCTCAGACAAATGCAAAACGATTTGATGCGGTAACAGATCTGTAATTTAATGTCCTCGACTCTTTTACACACCTAGAGCTGTTACCAAAAATGGCATTCAAATAACCAAAACCACTCTGAAGAAATATTACAGCTACCGTGTCAATTCCTTCTACTCATACCAGTGTAGTTGTGAAAGGAAATCTGTTTTGAATATTTTTTTTTAACTACGGCAAAAGCTCTGCACCATATGAACAGAGCCATTCTTCCATTTTCACCTTTCAAGATCTAACCCTGCGAAATTCCCAATGCCCCCGAAAATTCCTAATTATTTGATGCAGGGACCGCGGAGGGAGAGGGGCTGATCACCCTACCACTTTTATTGCTGGGATATATTTTCCAGGGCTCCAGATGGCGCACAAATGTGCAAGATAAATAGCGAAACACTGACCTTAACGTTTGTTTGTATTGGCCAGACTTTTTTAGCCCTACCACTTTCAAATTGTCTCCGCCGCCGGTCCCTGTAATGGTTCTACCATCCACTCATTTTTCCAAACTTTTAGTCCTTGAGTAAAAAAAAAACTGCAACAGTAAGCACCTATGGATTTTCCCCTTGAAAAATGTCTCCCGAAAGCGAATTAGGAAGCAATTATCCATGCAATACAAATTTTAAAACGCCTATCTTTGTCAGCCAATCAGAAAGCGATTTTTTTCTTTACTATGTGATTCTACAAGACTAAAATGTGTGTCGACGCCATGAAGTTAAGCTGTCCTGTGTTATTGTTTATTTTCGTCCTTCCTTGAAGTTCCCTTTTAACCGCATCAGACTGAGCATGATTTTCGTCTCGCGTATATTCCTCTAAATCCTTCTTTCATCCGTGACAAAGGACTCAATTTCTCCTTGTCCGCATTTTCTTCCTCTGTTCTATTGTTCAAATGCAGCCTCAAAGACTCATACAAAAGAGAATTCGTCTCGACAAATCCTTCTGAAATTGAAATCTCACAGAATGCAGAACTTATCTCCTTGGCCAGCCCAAGTCCTTCGTTTAGGCTGATTCGTCTGTGATGTTTCAAGTCCTTCTTGGTGCCAACTAGAATAAGGATGCATTCATTGTTTTTAACTCTTCGTATGTATCTCCCCAAACGTTTCGCCTCCATGAACGAAAACCGATCCGTGATGGAGTACAGAATGAAGATCAGGTCTCCAAAAGCTGCGCACTGTTGCACTTTGTGTTCTGTGTTCTGGGTGAACATAAAGGGAGAAGAAAAATCAACACAACTAGTAGTTAGTTTCTGTTTGTTTGTTTGTTGCGTTAGTTAAATTTGCTTACCTCGCCGGCTGTATCCATGATAGCAAGTGCCACATATTGCCCGTCTAGATTCATGTGATGTGTGTATGTCATCTCTAAGAAACAAGATAAGTAGGGTTTAGTGCGAGCTAGGCGAGCGAGGTCTAGGGCGAGCGGGGTGAGCCGGGTGAGCCGACAGCGGTCTGGTGACGAGGGGAACACATGGTTCGCTCGCGGATTCCACTCGCTTCGTTCGCAAAATTCTTTATTTCCGCCCTCGCTGGGAGCCTGTTTGCAGGCTAGTAAGGGCATTGTATGTGTTCCCCCGCCCCTTCCCACCTTCACTTCCCCGCCTGCTGTTGAGACACTCACCTAAGCTTTCATCGTACTCCCCAATAAAGCGTCTAGTTAGGAATCGAACGGTAAGAGCTGAAACAAAACAAGCCACAGATTAGTGAAGACTGAAAAATAATTATCGAAAACAAAAACAACTCATTAGTTGTATGTGTGGCTTTTCGTTTCAAGTAAAATATCAAGCACGAGAGACCATGTTTTGAGAGTTAAAAATACAACACGCAACGGAGTATTTTTGGCTAACTTCGAGGTGTTTGAAAATGTGGTGAAACAATTAATCTCTTGAGTGTTTGATACCTTTTCTCTATCAGAACTAAAACTAAAGGGCCGGGAAAAACGAAGAATTGGATTGTGAAAATCTATGCTAGTTAACATTACGTATATCCTGACACTGTCATTATTGTGATTTCTTTTGTTCAAACTTGATAAATCGCCAATGTGTTCGAATAATCTGGAAACGATCACACCTAGAGATACATTTATTTGAAAAACAAAACTTCAAGTTCTCTTGTAAACTGAGCTTGAAGCATTTATTCCTCGTAACAGCCTTAATAAAATTCCAACTGTAAAAGAGATAACAGATTGATAGAGACGTCTATCTAATAAATCAATGATCTATGTAGTTTCCGTTGAAGCTCTTAAGATAAATTGAGAACACCTTCGCTGGCGTCTTCTGACCTCCCAGAACAACAAAAGGTAGCTTAAGCAATTCACGACGTCAACCGCACCAAGAATTTACGAAACATATAATGAGTAGTAGAACAATGGTATAGTGAGTAGAACAATGACTGTGCACGTACGTTTTACATCTTTGTGCATTTCGTAACCGTCCTCTGCAAAACGAGAAATAACTAAGTTCTGCGTATTTTGAAGAGCGTGAACCACGACGGCTAATATTTCGTATTTTCTTCAGGAATTGATCGCTGGCGTTACATCTTTAGTTTGAGTAGCGTTTTAGACCGCTCGGCGTACTAAATAGATCTAGATAATTGCGAAATTCAAAGGTAAAATGTAAATCCATTGTTTTTTACTAGGCGTCTTCCTTGGCGTCGCAGTCGCCATTGCTTAAGCTCCGTAAAATAGCAACAACGACAGATAGAAGGCAATCTTGGTGGCACAAGTTAACACTTGATGAGTGTTCAGGCCCACCTGTATCACGTTCACCTCAGAAAACGTGCATATAGATTACAAAACGTAATATACCATCAACAACTTCAAAAAGTAACGTTATCGATCTCTCAGGGTGTAAACCATCTCATAGTATGTTTATCTGTCTCTAGTGAGTGATATATAAAGAGGAATGAATTGAATCCTCGCGTTACTCTTTGTTTCAAATCAGCATTTCCTTTCCTATTGACACTGCAATGATTCTTATTTTCTGGCCGTGCCAAGCAATTTTCGTCCTGACGTTTTTCCCATTGAGGACAATCTGTTAGCCCACAGGGAAGACCTTTGTTCAGGTTTGGACAAAAAGTATCATATCTTTCAACATGTGCCAATTACCTTTAAATACAGATCTCATTTATTTCCTAAAATAGATTCGCTTATTGTGTTTTTCCAGGACTATAGGGTCGATATTCGTTTTGAAGAACTAGTTCAAATTTTCAGCAGATTTCCACGCGGATTAAGAAAGCATTGGCTTGTCAGGAACGATACAACTTGACAAGCCTCCCAATTCTTCAGTCACCCGACATAATCATGCATACTTCATTTGGTATTCTCTTGACCTCCCAGATCTAAACACAATGAAGCCAAAATCTTAAATCTGATGATTGGTTAAGACATTCTGCGTCGCGTACTTACCCCGTACGCCTTGGTATTCAGAGAACACCAAACACGTTTAGATTCCTAACATGCTGACAATGATAACGAATTAAACTGATTACAGTAACTGATCTCTCAAGTTGTCGAAATGTATTCCATCAAACAATGTTGTTTGGAATGTTCATCGTGTAATTTCAGTAGAAATCTCTACTGAAACGCTATGAGTATCAGGAAAGAGCAAAACAGAAAGAGAAAAGGAGAAGAAGAAGAAAAAAATGTTATCACAATGTCCTTTACAACAAGAAAGCATAGTCTGGAACATTTTATATCTAGCTTTATGTCATAATGAGAATGTGCACCCTTCATTTTTGTATTCTTCTTCCATTACACCATGCGAAACAATTTTTTTTTGAAAAGGCGTCTTCCTGTAATGAAATCAAATTAATCCTTAACTGTCATTTTACGTTTGCAAAGAAAAAAAACTTATTAATTAAGAAAGTTTCAAAAGAGTTAAAAAAGTAGTACACGAGCCATTGCTGACAAACTCTATTAATGTGATGTCCAAATTCAGACGTACCATTATCGGAGGTTTTTTCAGTTGCTTTCATCTTCATACAGTATGTGTAAGTGGGACAAGTCGTCACCTAGTGAATGACTCTTAAGAGCCTGGGTGTAGTAAGCAACCTGAACAGTTGATATATGATGACTGGTACACGTATTGGTGATACCCATGAAAAGTACTCTGGCATAGTAATGAAGCACCCTTTATTTTATCTTTTCAGCATTTCTTGGATAATCGACATGTTATTAAACTAGTTAACGTAGTTGTCTCAAGTGAGGCGATTCGGTGCTCCTTGATTGGTGAAGCAGGCGTATTTTTAATAAGGGAAAATGGTAGCTATGTTGCAAGACGTGATAGCAGGGATCACCRATGGCGAGACGGAACTGACCTTTACTGCATGTACTGCTGATCAACATTTCTATCAGCTACGCTTAAGATAAATACTTGCACGTTTTGGCCCTCCCGTACCATTTACGACAGTTATTTGAGTCAATCAAGCCGTGTGAATCCCCTAACGATTATTTTTTCAAATCGTTTGAGCGTCCTTTGGATTTCAATTTTACTATAACAAAAGCTACAACCAGCCGCAGTGACTTAGAAGACTAATTGAATTTATTTGCTCCAATATCCACGGTGGATCTCATGTCGGATTTTTGTTATAGGGCGTGGCTTTACCGCCATAATACTTATAATGTACAGCGCGACCGCAACGGATTCCAGGTTTTCTGTTGCCGAAAAGCCGACCTGGATTTGTCTACATAGCTCTGGCTAATGTCGATATTCCATTTTATCAAAAAGATATCGGGTGTAAGATATATGTAGGTTTTGAATAATATTACGTAACTACAGTTTCCCGAACAGACAATATGGTTACACTTATCAAAATAATGGAAAAACATTGCCGGTCAATCCCTCTTGCAGACAATCACTAAAATAACTTATTACTCGGTTAAATGACTTCCTGATTTCATCGATGATTGGAACTTAACTGTAAACACAATGGCTAGCTTCTTTCAAAAAGCCATCATGAATACGTTTGTACTTTCATTATACATATCTTGTAATTATATTACTTCTTAAAGTTCTTCGGAATTAAGCCGTCACAGACCTTCAAAAGACACCACTATTCACTATTCATGAGAACAATAAAAGGTCGTTTAGTTTCTAACCTTCAAAGCGATGACCTTTCTTTCTTATATAAAGGCGTCTAGATGGCTGATTGCGAAGTGTTTTATACAACGAAACTTTAGATTTCAGAATATTTCAATTCGGGTGTACAAAGCTACCTGTTTGATGGAATTGGCGGAATTTCGAAATTGATATGTTCCGTTTGAAGTACAAGAAAACCAAAATTTCTCTTGGTATTAATTAAGAAAACAGTAGCCAGCTGCCATTTTTATGCACTTTTCTAACGTCTGGCTAATTGAAATGGGGATTCTAGAAGAAATTTTAAATCGGGTGAGCGAACTTTGCTCCCGATAAACAGACTCCCGATATGCAGACAACTTGTAAGCACGCCCCGTTAAAAGGACCAGTCAACAGACTGATGAATCCAGTTACGTTAGGTACTTTTTCATGTCATTTTCCACCTGCTTACATTTGCTTTTTTACATTGCACTAATCACTCAAAATTCCTTGTCCACTTCTAGTGAGAAATTCCCATAAAACCGCACTAAAGTGCTTTTCTGGTCCTTAAGAGCTTCAGTTATGATACGCCTTTTAAAAGCACTATATTTTGTGGTAAAGGTATTTCCTCACTTCGAGGCCAAAATTTTATCTCGTTAAGACAACTGTTGGGACTATTGTAAAAACGTCAACAGGCTTAGCATCTGAAAAGAGACCGCGATTTTTATCTCGAAATTATTAAGAAACTTTCAATGTTAACCTTGCTACCTTGTTACCGATCCTAGATCAGTTTCAATTGCGGTTGATATTTTTAGGCCCACATAGACGCCGTACCGATCGATAACCAGGAAAGATTAAAAATGTGCCAAGATCATCTTCCTTTTCTTCCTTTTGCTCCGCGGCTTCTTTCGTCCCTCTAAGTGTTGCTCGAACAAGTCCTCGATTGTGAAATACATTACAGGAACAAAGTGTAATTACAAGATTCGGTAATCCATTCGTAATTCATCTGCCATTATCTGATTTATCAACTCTGATGAAAACCGTTGAACAATCTGATCCAAGTCTTGCTATTCACGTTTTTAAGTGACGAGAGCACGTGTTGTAAACAACTTTAATAGGAAACTAAATGAGGAATCTTTTTACAGTATCATTTCAAAGATTTCACTTACGCCTCTAAAATTATCCTGAAGAAATCCTTCCCTGAATGGAGTAGAAACTAATATTGTTTCCTTTTTCTACCTACCCTTCAATTCAAACCTTAGTAGGCTATATATAATTCAAGTTCGAGTTCCCAAATGATTCACCGTAATTATCGACAATTCGTGACAATTCCTTCTTACAAACTTACCCGATTTTCCTACACCATCCAAGCCAAGTACCACTGCATGTACATTTACAATGCTGCTTTGATGTGTAGAGCAAGATCGTTTGCGTCTCATCATTTCTTTACGGCAGGGAAGCGCGGCACTGAAACGCGATGAAAATACGTTAAACAAGCATAGCAAAAAAAGTAAATTAGGAACTAATTGCATTTTGATTGTAGGTCGTTAAATGTTTTGTAGTGTAGAAATGTTTGATTGACCTTTTCGCCTTTCCTAATGGTTCTCCTTTCTCAGACGGTCAATTCGAAGTTTAGTGTTATTACAACAATTTGGTTTGTGCAAACAAGTCAGTATTATATTTATCGTACAGGCTCGCAAAACAGGTTAAGTATTTATATGATTGCCATGTAAAAAGACGAAAAACACGATTTGTTGGTGATTGACAGTTAAAACAGATCACGTGTCACGTTTTGTCATCAGCAGTCTCAACTCTTTCTTTGACTGCTTGCTCCACGTGGTCGTGAAGAAATGTTATGCTCCGCATTTTTTGGTGAGGTGAGGAAAGCAGCGTTTGGCCTGTGTACAAACCGTTTTCGTTGCCTCAAGCGCATTCTAAATATTTTGGGGTTATTACAGCACGTCTGGCTGACGGTGCTCAGTCATGCAACCGAGCACGTGAGCCAATCCGAGCACACCACCCTAACTAACCCAGGATCACGTGTCAACCCACACAAGCGCGCTAACAACGGCTCAAGCGAATTCGCGCCCAGTAGCATGTGCACGTGTACACGAGCCGTAACACGCATTCAAAGTATTTTTAGTGTTTTATTAGCAACGCATTGTGGAATGTTTTATGGCCGTCTTTTGTCGGTTTCTTACCATCCTCAGAAGTGTGTGAACGTTTCTTTTCACACTACAAGAGACCACTCGAATCCCGCTCATGGTATTATCTTCGCAAAAAGTCGAACCAGCATTGTAAAACTAGTCGGACTAATGTCTCCACTGAAAATTAAACACTTATTTCAATCAACTATTTATACCCTTTCTAAATACAGAAACATTAAGTGCTTTTTCTGCAGCGATCGTATCAGTAACGCCTTCAGACAAACCGCAAATTGGCACTCACTATCAATTCAAGATTAATTGCACTTTGCACACGCTAAGTTAAGAAAAGACTTCAAGCGCTAGGAATTCTCGTCATAGCTGTAAATGGCGACTTAAAACCGACAGCATTTATCTGTTTTAGTAAAAATAACGGGAAAGTAGGATATGAGGTAAAACAGTTGTAAAGAGTAGCACCAGGTCTCACCAGTTTTAAATCCGTTTGCAGCGGTCTCTTCTCAGGAACACTTGTAAATAGTGTAAACACACGGCATTCATGGAAAGCACGCATTTTTGTTTCACTTTATTCACTTAAATTGATATTATTAGGTTCGAATTATTAGTTTCCTTTTTAATTCATTGTAGTTATAATGGTATTGAGGATGTAATTAGCGTTTTGTAATTAAGACCTGATGTTTTTAACCGTGTATAAATAAAGTGATCTATTCTATTATAATTTAATCACTGGTGAGATAATTATAGGGGCACTATTTTGCAAAGTCACCAGATTAAAAGAGGACGATCTCTGATTTACACTTCCTCATGCTTTCAGAAAAATGTTGTTTCAAAGCGCTCCAAAGTGTGAAATGATACTTGCCTTGGTCAAGTTTACATTACCTTGAGGTATAAACTGACCCTTTGCAAGATAGAATCAGCGTATACATTTTTCGACCTTTTGTTATTCTCATTTAATGGACGAAGAATTGTAATTCAGATTTCAAGTTTTGATCAGACTCTTTTCTTATAATATTAGAGCTGAACGTTATAGCTTTTCTTTTAGCAAAATACTAGAACCTATCTCTCTAGTACAAGAGAAGCGAAATGGTTGCAGAATCTCAATTAGGCAGGTTTGAAACAGATATTTCATAACATACCATGTTAACCTACCTTTGTGGAAACAGTGATCTGGATGAACCAAAAGAAAACACTCTGCTACTTTTAAAACTTCTTCCTAACAAACTGTATCACTTCTGTCTCTCCTTTTTAAATTGGTAGTTTCGTTCACTGTGCTATTTAAAGTACCTATGGAGTGTTTTCACATGACGTCACAGCAACCTTATTGGTGTCCCAAAACAATGAAACGGCGGCCTTATTGGTGCCCCAAACCAATCTCGTGTCCTTATGCAAAAACTTTGTTTTCTTCCAATAAATCTGAATGGCTACTAGTCACGTGCGTGGAAACGCTCTGTTACATAACTATTACGTAATAATAATTAAAACGTTCTTCAATAGGACGTTGTCAATTTGAATTTAGAATGCTGGCTCCAAGAGGAATCTATCATCTAATGGAAATGTAATAAACTGATAAGGATGCTTAAACCCTCTGCTGAGCTTTGCTCGCTGTCCTTTGTCATGTGACACTGAGATATGTAAAAGCGACATAACCTGATTAACTCCTGCTTTTAAAGTTTTTTTAGCAAGTCTTTTTCATGGTTTGATGAAAATTGCTTACATTACTGTCTATGTCATTAATGTCTACACTAGTTTAATCAATCCCAGAATGTGTGGGCTATTTATCTGGAGAGGGAAATTACAGTAGAAAATGTATAACTTTTATTTGAATGATTTGTAATGAGATCAGAGTACCGGAAGGCGTTGCCGGTGATTTGCAAACCCGTGTACACCACGCAAAACTAATTAAAAAGGGTGGTATTTGACTAATTCAAAGAAGTATTTTCTTTTCATCTTCGCTTTTGATCAAACAATTGCTTTTCTTGTAGCATGGGAAAATGACCAAACTTTGCTCAAATCAATGCAAGTCAGTTATCCTTAACAGTGTTATGTCAACTTGAAGTTTAGAGTTTGTATAAGAAGTAAAAATGATTAATCATGCAGACATGATTTTTACCAGACAAGGAAGGAGTTCAAAGTTATCACCTTTTGGGAATGAAAATAGGCTATTTAGTCTTATCTCGGAGCCTTTTATTAGAAAGTTGACCTCCGTATTATATCATAACTGAACCTCGTTATCTACAACTCGGTAATCTCCAGCCCTCTACTGTCTCAAACTCAAATTAATTTCCATGGATGTACTTGTCAGTCACTTACTATCAGCTATCTCGAACCCTCTCCATGTAGATCTTGAACTTTTTTCGTCTCCCTTAATAGTTCGAGATATAGCATCTCTAAAGAGCACCTGATTCTTTCAATAAAGGTAAACGCATGCAAAAAGACATCCGGTAGAGGGACGGATGGCTTGTAGACGCTCTATTTCCCGGCTCGTGGGTAGTTGGTTGTCATATTCGTCAAAAGTGAGAAAACAGTTGCAACAGCAAGGTGAAAAAGACTTGGTGGCTTTGAATTTAAAAGGACTACTGTTTTCTGGACCTGGCATAGTCAAACCACTCTATCAAGCCGTGACTGCTAACTTGACAAGGGAAATCGGGGTTTTGGGTTAATGGAATTAACGCATTCACCGTAAATGCGTTAATCCTTGCGTTAATCAGGCTGATTATCCGTGCAAAATTAAGCCTGCGATTCGAAGAACTGCTGAAAGAGCTTGCAAGCAGGCTAGGCAGGGTTGCTCTTAACACTACCACTAGAAAAACGTGGCATGTTAAATAGCTATTGTCTCTAAAACATTCCTTGCAGGTCTGAAACGAGCCGCTAGAGCCATGCATAAAATGACAGAGGTGTGTGCCGAACGAACCAAAAAAAGACTGCTAATTTCCAGTTACACAACGCTCCAATTCTAAAAATACTAAGAGACGTTGTGACCTTTAGTTTAATAATGAAGGCTATTATGAGCTAAATTCCTTTACAACGTGAGCATGTGCGTCAAAAATAAACTATGACTGACAACATACGTGTAAGTGATGTGTTAGTTACGTTTAGGCGGATTTGGAAATAGAAACAAACAAGGATAAGATACGAGACACCCAACGTTTTCTCTAAAATGCTTTTTTTACGATTACATTTCCTTCAAAAGGAACCTCGTTTAACACCACGGTACTATCAACATTAACACTGCGTTACAAGGTAGTAATTGTTCGTTGTTATGGCTGGTGTTTGCAACCGATACAACGCGCGCTCTGATCTCTGATTGGGTGCTTTTAAACTAGACAGGAAGAGATAATTTGAAAACATTGAGTTTCAGTCTTATCAAAACCGCAACAGCTGCAAAATATTAGTGACTATGAACACTCTGAGAGTGAATTTTACTGATAACTGACCCATACGAGGTAGAATTTCACAAAGAAAGCGAGAAACGAAACGTTTGTAGCAAGCATGGGTTTAACGACCCAAAAGAGACAAGGTGACGTTCCTTTCCTAAACAAAATCCGCGTTATAAGGAAACAAACCAGCAAAAACCAGATAATTTATGCATAAGCAAGTCATGTACTCTCACAGGTGTTGCGGAGCAACTCTTTTCTTTTACAATTTTTTTTTCTCTCCCCCTTAATGAGAATTACACATAGAAGCTGGTAGGCAACGTGTGTCCCGCGCACTAACAGTAAAACCGCAACTCGGAACCTTCATACAGTATGGGTAATCCAGTGCTGACGAGTGAAATTAGGAAATAATTACAATTGCGTTTTGTCCAAATTCTTATAATTCCCCGAGCCTTTAGGCAAGGGAAATTATTTGAATTTTGACAACACGCAAGCGAAATTATTTCCTTACTTCGCGAGTATACCATTTGATTATCTTTTAATATCATAGGTGACAAATTTAGCTTACAATCCTGGGTTTTTGACTTGTTTATTGGGTCGAGAAATTTCGCGCCAAACGTTGCCAGGGCAATTTTGTAATTTCAAATGTGAAATTATAAATTAACGCTGAAATTTTGTGCCACATGCAAGGAGTAATTTT